GGGTTACGAGTCTGACTCTCTTACCATTAGGCCACAACTCCCCCGTGAAGCATTTTTAAGTGAAGCTAGTAACTCTGTCCATGCCCCTAAACAGTTTGAACATCATGGCACACTACACTTTTCTCTTTATTGACTTGGCAGCAAAGATAAAGGTTTCATGCAAAACAGTAGTGATATTCCTTCTGAAGGAAGTTCACAGAGGGAGGCTTGGGTCAGGCTAAGATCAGTTTGTATTTTCCTGAAATGTAGTAAAGAATTTGACAAATAATTCAAAACAAAAGTCAGCTTAATCAACCCCCTGTTACATACAGGTGCATCTCAATAAATTAGAATGTCGTGGAAAAGTTCATTTATTTCAGTAATTCAACTCAAATTGTGAAACTCGTGTATTAAATAAATTCAATGCACACAGACTGAAGTTCTTTTAATTGATTTTGGCTCACATGTAACAAAAACCCACCAATTCACTATCTCAACAAATTAGAATACTTCATAAGACCAATAAAAAAAACAATTTTTAGTGAATTGTTGGCCTTCTGGAAAGTATGTTCATTTACTGTACATGTACAAAGAAACAAAGACGTAAACTACTTCAGTCTGTGTGCATTGAATTTATTTAATACACGAGTTTCACAATTTGAGTTGAATTACTGAAATAAATGAACTTTTACACGACATTCTAATTTATTGAGATGCACCTGTATATTACAAAAGTTTGGGGTCAGTAAGATTTTTTTAAATGAATACTTTTAATCAGCAAAGATGAATCGCAAATGACAGAAAGATATTTATAATGTTACAATAGGCCTGCACGATTAATCGTTTGTAAACCGAAATCGCGATTTGAAAGCGCGCATGTAAACACCCACATCGCCTCCGCGTAAACAAACGTGAAGAGTTCATCCCGGCTACTTTTTGTTTCTGGAAGAAGACGCGCTGAGAGAAATAACCCAGAATTGACCTCACAAAGCAATGAGTCGCGCAGCTAGATCCAGTGGAGAATATCACTCTGATGAGTAGCCTAAGATTACTTGCATCTGTTGTTATTGTTATTGTGACATAACTTGTACACATTTGACTAGTTAGACTTTTCTAATTCCTGACTGCATGTTTGAAATCAAGTGAAACATTTTGAAATATGTGATATTTCATTGTCGAAATGTCTCACAACGCCAGGATGTTTGTTTAATGTTTTAACATATAAAACCACAAGATATAAAAGTAGTGTGAGTGTTAACACTATCTCTCAGGTGTGAATCACTAAGTATTCGTGGCCAGTGTCACTCCCTCGCATAAGGGCATTCTATCACAAAACATGTTTTACAAAAATGTTAAATCAATATATTGTTTTCTGTAAATAAGTGAACTCTAGTCTACCACATTCTCAAAAGTCTTGTGAACAAACGTTCTGTATGTGTTTATGGCCTTATTTCAGTGACTTAAAAAAATTAGTTTTTCACTAACCATGCATAAACATTGTTTTCTCAAAAACACAAACATGTACTTTCATGCTGCTCACAAATTATTGTAGCCCAGTTTGTGCTGAATACAGTGTTATCAGACTTTAGCCATTAAACATTTTTTAAGATACTGGAAAAAACACAAATGTCAGGGCATGCCAAAACTTCTCCAGGGCCCCAAATACTGAAAAAAACACAAATGTCAGGGCATGCCAAAACTTCTCCAGGGCCCCAAAACACCCTCAGACCCCAGAGGGTTAAATGGCAAAAACTTTTGCTGTCATTGTTACAACCTTAATGTTATGGTCAGTGTTTTACTGATGTAGAATTGTTTACAGTGTCTTTGGGTTCTTAAAAGTTTAAGATTTTATATATATATATATATATAATTGTTAATTTAACTTTAAGATACTGTAGTTATTTTCTTAATTTGTCATGAGAGATGTTTGCATCATGACAACTTTATTAAAAAAATGGCCATAATGTTTGATGTTTTAAATAAACAGTAGCATAGTTTGTGATAATATTCAATTCAATTCAAGTTTATTTGTACAGCGCTTTTCACGATACAAATCGTTGCAAAGCAACTTTACAGCAAATTAAGTTTCTACAATATTTAGTGGTAGCTTATCAGTGGTGACTGTCAGTTAATGTACATATGGCAGAAATTTATGGAAAAATCAATTAAAGACGTTATCAAACAGACGATGAACACTGATTGCATCATATAATAATTGCTGTTAATAAACTTATAGCAAAATGTGGTAGTTCTGTATGTTGTTTCATGGTTGGCATCATCTGAGGCCCTCTGAGGGTTTGCATCATCTCTTCTCAGTTGTTCTGGTTCCAGACTGAAGCGTGTGTAAATGCAAAAACAGAGAAACAAATAGAGACATAATTAGCGTAGCTGCTGTTCCAGCCAAGCAAAATTGATTTCTTTAACCCAAACTAAATTCAGTCAGTCAGTCATATTTATTTATAGAGCACATTTAAAAACGACAGCTGTTGGCCAAAGTGCTGTACAAGATTAAGCATATAACAAAATACAAAAGTAAACATAGAACACAGCGACAGATAGTACTCTGAAGTTATGCCACTGCTCTTATTTATGACCATAAGCAACAGTAAATAAGTTTTAAGAAGAGACTTAAAATCAGCATATGTTGGTGCAGTTCTTATATAGGGTGGTACCTTGTTTCATAACTGTGGAGCAGCCACTGAAAAGGCACGATCTCCTTTTGATTTCAAGTGTGACCTTGTGACCTTCAACTGAAGACTACTAGTTGATCGAAGTTCCCTGGAGGCGTTACAATGGAACAAAAGGAGATCAGAGATATATAATGGAGCCAGTCCATATTTATAAAGAATAATAATGTGCATTTGATCATTCTAATACTTGGTATTTCTTTGGTGCTGTTAAAACCACCACAACAAACCTGTAGCTCTTTTATGAAATAGTAGTAAATCGCATTTTAAATCGCAGTTTTGATCAGAAAAATCGCAATTAGATTTTTTCTCCAAATTGTGCAGCCCTATGTTTCAAAAACATCTATTTCAAAATAAATACTGTTCCTTCTATTCATCAAAGAATCCTGACAAACATGAATCACAGTTTTCACAAAAATATTAAGCAGGACAACATTGATAATAAGAAATGTTTCTTGAGCACCAAATTTAGTATATTAGATGATTTCTGAAGGATCATGAGACACTGAATACTGGACTGCTGAAAATTCAGCTGTGCATCACAGGAGTAAATTGCATTTGAAAATATATTCAAATAGAAAACAGTTATTTTAAGTTGTAATAATATTTCAGAATATTACTGTCATTACTGTATTATTTGATCAAATATAATATTTTGATCTTGGTGAGCATAAGAGGCTTGTTTCAGAAACTTG